CTCCGTTTTTTGGTAAAACCTGGCTCTTAGAACAAATCCCTGGCATATCTGACGAAAACTTGGGCTCAGAAGAGGGGGCTTGGGGAGTAGACACAAATGCCTGGCACATTTGATTGCAATTCTCGATTGGCTTAAAAAACCCTAATGGCCCTAATGCCTCAATGCCCGAATACCCAAATCTCCTTAAAATCCAAACATCTTGGTGCCACAATATTTTGGGAGTGTGGCTTGAAACAGTGATTCAGTTTTTCGATGGCTCACAAGAGGGGGCTTGGGGAGTGGACACAAATGCCTGGCACATCTGATTGCAATTCTCGATTGGCTTAAAAAAACCCTAATGGGCTTGGGGAGTAGACACAAATGCCTGGCACATCTGATTGCAATTCTCGATTGGCTTAAAAAAAAACCCTAATGGCCCTAATGCCCTAATGCCTCAATGCCCGAATACCCTACCCCCGGAACTTTTTTCCCTAAAGCCCTTTCGGATCGCAGCGGGGCGGGGCTGGGCCGGGACCTCAGAGTTTGTTGTCGTAGGAGGGTCTTCACTAGGAGTGCAGGTAGTGCAGGCTTCGGGGGTTTTTCGGGGTTTCTTCGAAGGTGGTTTGGGGCTCTGAGGCTGCAAGGTAGTGTCCGTGCGCACTCCCTTCCCTTCCCCCGCCTCCTTCCTCCCCCCACCCTTCCCTCGCCCAGGTCCGACCTCGTTGACGATGCTGGCTGGTCCCTCTGAGGTTTCAGGGTTAGGGTTTTTTTTTCGGAAGGCTGGTTGGGGCTCCGAGGCAGCGAGGCAGTGGTCCGTGCGCGCCTAGGAGTGCAGGTAGTGCAGGCTCGGGGGTTTTTCGGGGTTTCTTGGAAGGTGGTTTGGGGCTCTGAGGCTGCAAGGTAGTGTCCGTGCGCACTCCCTTCCCTTCCCCCGCCTCCTTCCTCCCCCCACCCTCCCCTCGCCCAGGTCCGACCTCGTTGACGATGCTGGCTGGTCCCTCTGAGGTTTCAGGGTTAGGTTTTTTTTTTCGGAAGGCTGGTTGGGGCTCCGAGGCAGCGAGGCAGTGGTCCGTGCGCGCCAGGTTCAAGGTCATTTCTAAGGTTGGAAGGCGGGGGGTTTTCGTAGGCCGCGAGGTTTAGAGTGCAGGTGCACAGGGTTCTCTGCTATGGTTGGGGGGTTTTCGGGGTTTGTAGGTCCCTAAACCTCTCGGGGTACCCTAGGCCGCCTTGCATCCGGGATCCCCGGCCCCCCGCCTCTCTGCCCAGGTGCTTCCAGCTGGGGCGGCGCCGTCGTCGCCAGCTGCGGGGAAAAAGGGGGTTTGAGGCGGGCCAGGGGGGATAGCCGGAAGCATGCCTCACATGTGCCATCAATTTGTGTGCCTTCCTGGCGTGCCCTTGGGCAATCACACACATGCTGCCCGGTGTTCGCGATGTGAGGCGATGGGGTCTCCGTTGCATTCCACGAAGGATGATCTCCACGAAGAGGTGCGGCCGCTGCTTCAGATTGAGCTTAACTGCCTTTGTGCATTTTGCCGTGCTGCTGCTGCGAGGTGGATTGGGGTTTCGGTTTCGGGTTTTGGTGGTTGGGGTCTTGCCCGTCCCTCTCCTCTCGACAGCTTTCGGGCTTTGGTGGTGGTTTGGGGTCCACGTGTGCCGCTCACATGTGCCATCCATTTGTGTTGGTGGCTTGCCCGTAGTGCTGTGCAGGATCAGTTGCTGTCAGTTGCTCAGAGTTTTTTTTCGCCGTATGTGACACATGTGGACCAAAAAAGGGAAAGCTTGCTTGATTTTGGTCACTCCTTTAAGGTTTAATGTTCAATGCCAAACCAATGCATGACAACATGACCTATCGATCCTTTAGGTCCTAGCCTTTCGCCTCGCCGCTTCGCCATAGCTGCGCTCTGTGAAAACTACTCCAATTCCCTCTCGAGTTTGATCGTCAAGGTCATTCGTGCCGGTGATGGCAGATCGCGATGTGCCCGACTGGGTGCTGCCCTGCTTCAGGGGCTTCAGTGTCGTGCATGGTGGTGCAGTTGATACAGTCGAAGTGTGCCAGATAGAGGGCAAGAAGGCTGTCATGTATGAAGGGGTTGAGACAAGCGCAACGGTGGAGGAGATGTTGACTCGTCTGACTGATCCTGGCTGCTCTTCTGACCTTTACGAAGCAGTGGGCATAGCTGTGGTGGTTAAAAGGAAGAGACAGGACAACAGCGATGACAAGAAGCAGGACGATGACCAGGGCAACAACGATGACAAGAAGCAGGACGATGACCAGGGAAGCAGCGATGACAAGAAGCAGGACGATGACCAGGAAAACAACGATGACAAGAAGCGGGACGATGACCAGGGAAGCAGCGATGACAAGAAGCAGGACGACGACAAGAAGAAGGACAGCGATGATTCGGGCTTCGCAGCTACCGTGGCAAAGAGGCTGCGTGCTGGACAGTGAGCGGCTTTCACTAGAGTCACTAGAGCAAAACACAGCACAACACAGCACACAACAGCCACACACACACACAGCAGCAACGACACAGCAGCAGCAGCAACACAGCAGCACACACCACAGCAGCACGACAACACGAGGGGTGAGGTCTCTCGAGGGTGTGCTCCGGGGTTGGTGGGTTGTACATTGCACATCCTAGGCATAGGCCGGGTATAGCATGGTGGGGTACTTGAGCACACCCTCGTTCGTACAGGCTTTCGCGGCGACAAAGGAGTGGGGTTTGGGGCGCTGGGTGATAGGTGCTCGAAGTTCAGGAAGTCCAGGGCACCCGAACCCATTTGGCCCCGTGGTAGGCGTGCCTTCGTCTTTGTCCTCCTCGACTTCTCGCCGCGCGTGATGCCCAGCTGCCCATTTTGAAGCTTTTGGGTTTCGGGCTGCGGGTTCTTGCTGCTCTGGTTGCTTGGTTACCGGCTTTACGACCTCAGGCCTTTATCTTCCTGCGCTGCTTTCGATTGATTTGCCATCACAAAAGACACATGTGCCAGGAATTTGTGTGCGTCCCCACAGGTCCCCTCCTTTTGCCCTCCGAGAGTGTTGCCCAGGTCCAGATCTTCGTCATCCAGTGCTGGCGCCTCTGAGGGTTTGTTTTGGGGTCGCGGTTTGGTTGTGTCGACTGTGTGCGGATGAGCGAGTGTGTACCTTGTCCTCCCCGTCGGCCCCGCATAGGAGCGATTTCACGAAGCGACTAAGTTGTCTTTTCCTGAGTGCCGTCGCAGCCACTGAGCCGCGTATATAAAAATAAAGAAAAGAAAATATCTCTGGAAAACGTGCCATGCATTGCACTGTGGGACAGTAAGTTTTCCATTGTCTAGAAGCACTCTTCGTTCGGGACTGGCTTCTTTTTCCTGTGGCATGTCGGTGCCGAACACCTTGTCTGATGACGAGGGGCACTGGGCTGTGCTGCAGCCGCCCGCTTATGCCTCGCAGATGCTTCGCTACCTGGAGAGTCAGCCCGTAGGGCTCAGGGATGAGGCGCTGGCCGATGCCTGTCGCCGGGGTATTGCTCGAGAAGCCCATGCTTCTGACAACGAGGCGTTTGAGTCGCCTGGAAGGGCATCTGCCGGCTCAGATGTGCTCCCCTCGACGACGGATAGGCTGGACTATCTTGAGGAGCAGATGAGGGACCTTCACGAGCAGAGTCGCTTGCAGCGCGAGCAAATTCAGACGGCCATCCGCCTAATCCACGAGGTGAAGAACCAAGTGGCTCCTCTGCTAGGGGCTTTCCAAGCTGATGCGGCAGGTCAGCGGCCTCGATCCAGAAGCCCAAGTCGGCGCACGTGAGGAAAGGCGTCTGCAGCCATCATTTGTGGTCAGGTAGCTTCGTCTTACAGTTTTGAGTTCCCCACAGGCTTCCTGGAAGGTGCGTGTGGTGGCTGGACCTCTCTTCGGCGTCCCAGGTCATAAACAGAGCGAGGATTGTTGGCTTGCTGGCTTGGTTTATGATGCAGTTCTCAGATGTGCCAACCTTTGGTGCAGGGTTTAGCCTAGGTCGGTTGAGTGGTCCATCGGTCTTCAAGGCTTGCCTTGCTTTGCCCAGGTCCTGATCTGGGTGTTGGCTCCATCATCGACGTCGTTGCGCCGGGTGCCTGGAAGGTGAGTTTCTAATAAACTGTTGAGTGTTAGGAACGACTGTTGTGGCATGAATTGGTGTTGATCCCCCTCCTATCCGCATCGCTAGGTCTGTCCATGTCTCTCTCGTTCTCGCTCTTTCTCTCTGTGTCTCTCTCTGTCTCTCTCTGTCTCTCTCTGTCTCTCTCTGTGTCTCGAGACGGCCCCGCCCAGGCAACTCGCGCATCCTCTCGCTGCTGGGTCAGCCGATAGGACCCTGGTGTGCCATCCATTTGCGTGATTAGATCGGCTGTCACGGGGATTCACAAGCATGCTCACGCTCATGTCCATAGCCAGTAGTGACATGAGTGCCGACGGGAACCTGATGTGCCATCCATTTGTGGGATTTAGACCGGCTGTCACGGGCTTTCACAAGCATGCGCGTGCTCGAGTCCATCAGCCAGTGGTGTGGCATGAACGCAGACATGGGGGCATTCTGCGTTGGAGGCATAGGGTTTAGAGTTTATGACTTGAGGGTACTAGGGTTCAGTGTTTGAGGGTTCTCGGGGTTTTGGGATCAAGCGCTTTAGGGCCTGAGGGTTATTTTTAGATGCCTCCCTACCGCAGATTGCTAGAAGTATATATGGATGCTTGACACAAGATTCACAAGATGCCTCCCTACCGCAGATTGCTAGAAGTATATGGATGCTTGACACAAGAGAGGGCGAGTGGCAAGCTGAGTGCGTAGGCACTTTCCTGGCTGCAATGGATTCCACCCATCCCTTGGCCGTGGCGGGGGCACGCTGCATGAAAACAATTGCTGAACGAGCAGTTGCAGCGGCGGCTCAGGTGTGGGCTGTGCGAGATTTGTACCATTGTAAATCGACTTCCGCTGTCCATGCGACAGGTTGATGGACACCCTCTCTTGTTGTACCGGCGGGAGCTCACGCTCTCAACCCGTTTTTCGGGCATGGGAGGTGGCGAGCAGGCTGCGCTGATGGTGCAGAACGCTACGGGGATTCACTTTGCACTCACCAATCAGTGTGATCATGCTCGAGAGGCCTTTTCGGTGCCTTGGCTGGTACGCATTTTGAGACAAAGATGCTCCAACCGCGCGGGCTGCGTGTGCTGTTAGTCGGTCGTGCCCTGCGAGGCCCTACAGTTGAGCCCGCTCTTCTCTTCTGCTGTGTGTCAGTTCTCTGACATCAGCAGCTTGCTTCAGCCCTGGTTATGGGGTGACCTTGGCTACGATGAACAGCTTAAAGCTTCCAGGGGCGCGAAGCTACAACCACGAGTAAAGTGCCTTCACCATGGTACCTCGCCTTCCATAGACTACACCCAAACATCAGTCCATGCTATAAGTGCACATGTGCCATCCTTTTGTTGAGCGAACACAGGCCAGAATTGCCGGCCTGCCGCCGCGGATCTGGACATATCCGGTCCACACTGCACGGACCACAGCAAACTAGGAAGAAAGGCTGGCAAAGACGGTCCGACAGCACGCTTCTTCCTGTCTTACATGCAAGAACTGCGGGAGCGACGCACAAAATTGGCCGTGATTGAAAACGTCTCCAGCGGCGACTTTGCCGACATGCTGTCGCTGGGATGTAGATATACGCATGTACAGCTTACTTACACACGTCTTAATGCGCGTGTACGCATGCAGTGTCGTCCTTTGATTTTTGCCGAACGTTTTGGCCCTATAGAGTTGTGTCGCAGTCTAGGACGGGCAACCTCCGGGATATTTACTACATCGAAGAGATTCGCGCAGATCCTCGGGACGTCGGATATTTTGCTGTAAGCAGGCCTCGCAGCTATTTCGTATTGGTTCATCGTGAACAAGGGCGTTTCTTGCGGAGCCCGCGCAACGTCTACTCGGAGATCTGCTCAACATTGCAGCAGCAGAAGGACTTGCGCATCCCACATCTCTTCTGGGAACGTGACGAAATGGAATTGAGGCGTGAACGATTTGCAAGCATACCTCAATCTCGGTCAGATGATGCGTCGGGGTCAGCTTTCAGCGATCAGCTGCCCCCCTTCGAATGCAAACAGCTAGAAGGGTACAAGCGCATGTGGAAGGAACACTGTTCCGACAAGCCGGCAGATGAGGCACTCTTTGTCCTCAACCAGGACTGTCAAAAATACACCAAATGGACGTTGTACGGCACGGACAAGGAAGCGGGGCGGTGCCCCACGCTGGTGAAGGGATGTGGCACGACGCGCTTGTGGCACATGCAGTCAGAGAGATGGGCAACTGCTCGGGAGAAGCTCCGAACCCGCATTGATGCAGCATGCAAGGCAAACAAATAGATGGCACATGTGGGCCACTGACTCGGCGTGTATGCACTCAGGTTGTCCTGGCACGGCTGGCCTACGCACCCCGAGCTGGCAAAGGCCGAGCCTCATGGTGGTTGTGGTGATGGTGTGTGTGTGTGTGTGTGTGTGTTGTCCAATCGCTTGTGCTTATGCTTTTTGCCCTTTATACATTCCCAATTTCGGAGAATGTATATATTTGCTGAGGCGATGAACCTTCCTCTTCTTGACACCGCCCGGCTATCCAAACCCCACGAGCTCGCCGGCTCGGGGTTTATGGTGCCTTGCTGCGCCGCCGCCTTGCTTTCTGCTTTGGCGTCGATTCAACTCCACGAGGATGTGACGGCCTGGCAGATTCCTCGGCCGATGGCGCCAATGGATTTTGAGGCAAGGGACTTGCTTCTGTTTCAACAGGTTCTGACATGTGCCGTCCACTTGTTTCCATGCCTCAGGTCATCCGTGTGCCACAAAACGGGAGGTGCTTTCTCTCATGCGTGTGGCTTCACACAGTGGCGACGCGAGAGGAACTGAGGGAGTGGTCTCTTCTACCCCGGTCGGCCACCGGAATGCCTATGGCGTATGGGGAAACAGATCACGGGCGCCTCAAATGGGAGGAGTCACGTGACTTGCCTGTGCAGGTCTGTCCATCTCTATCTCTATCTCTCTCTCTCTCTGTGCCTGTGAGTTTCCGGGTATATATTTCCCATGAGGTCAGATTGCAACAGCAAGCTCCGTGGAACAGCTGTTGAACGACACCGGGAAGGCAACCAAGGAGCTTTTAGATAGGCTCCAGCGCGGGTACCAGACCGATGGTGATGACCATCAAATTCTGTGCCAGACCTTGAAACTGCGCATGACTGCCCACCACTGCAGCAACAGCCATGTGACGACAGAGGAGCTTGGCTGCTTGCAGGAAGAGGCAGAAGGCCACATCCATGTTCGATTTGCCCAAGCATGTGACGGTGCTGGTGTTGGCCAAGGACACTTCGATTACCTTTATCCCAGGAGCCATGAACCCCAGGCAACCGGCGGGGTCCCTCTGCCCAAGACAGTTCAACACGGGATAACGATTCAGGGTAAGTGCCTCGCCGCAGCAATTCTGCAAGGGTACAAGGACGTTGAGAACCGCAGAATATCACTAGAGAACCAGTGGGTAGCCCTCCACCTCGGAAAGACGATCCCCAAAACTGAAGAGACAACGAAATGGTTATGCCGCGATCAACATGGTGATTCTTTGAAGCTTAATGGGCTGCTGCCCGGACATATTGTGGGGCTAATTTTCATCGACAGCTCTACACCTATGCACGCTTATCGACAAACCGTGGAATGTGGCGCCAGTTGCAAAATCGACCCCAAGAACTTCTGCAGTTCTCACGTGGGGAATTGTCGGTGCAGCCCGTGGGCACACGGGCCCATACTGAACCGCATAGCAAGGGTGATACCTCTCACACCCATTGTTTGCTCTGGCAATGTGGGCAAGTGGCCGCTTGATGTCCAGGTCCGGAAGCAGGTCCTTTCTCAGCTGAAGCAGGGTCAGTGGGAGCAGCGTGTCAATGATGGCTGTATAAGGGGTTGGCCATTGCCTTGGCTTCCGCCGGGGGCTGGAAGGAGTCCATCTGCGGAAGCATCGTCTACGGAAGCAAACCCGGCACCAATGGAAGTGCCGGCCAGGGAGTCGCCATCCACATCGACGTCGTCAGACTCCGAGTCGGAAAGGCGTCGTCTGGCTGGCCAAGCAGCAGTTCGAGCTGGAATCTCAATTTACTGCTGTGTTGCTCGGCAATGCCTCCACCATGCCAACTGCATGACAACTTTGAAGTCCTTGAGGTTGTGCACAAGTCCACCGCGAGTGGGGTGGCCCCCCAGGCTGAGATGTGCCTGCCATTCGTGCTGCAGCCGGACACATGTTGAAGGTGCATGTGTCACGTCTCAGGAGCCAAGCGCCAACGTGGGTGCCGCCGTCGCTGAGGCTGCATCTCTCTGGCTGAGGTTGATTCTGGTCGGGGATTCTTCAGCCGCATATAAATAAATATATATATATATATATATATTTATTTATACACTTCGTCATATATTTATACACTTCGTCAGGAGACTGGCACGGAGAAAGGCAGTCACCCGGCAAAGGCAGCGTGTCCGTGAAGAGTTCTACGATTCTACGAGTCTATACCCGTGAGCATGCATCCTTGCGCATCAGGAACCTCATATGTCTGCTGCTGCTACAGATGCGAAGGTGCACATGTGCCAGCCTTTTGTGGATCGTCCGCCTGCCTTACTTATGGCTCGATGACACAGGTAGCACCACTTTCCTCCGAACGAGCCGAGACATCGCAGCAGGACCGGCCCATGTTGGCCCATGTCTCCATCGATACGTGTGTGTGTGTGTGTGTGTGTCATTTTCTTCCACGGAGCCACTCGTGAAGGACTCTGCTAAATAAACCGTTGATTGTGCTTGATTTTTTTTGCGGGGGGCTCTGCGCTGCCCCTCAGGAGAGTGGCGAGGAGACAGGCAAACACCTGGCAGAGGCACAACTTCATTTGCCTGCTGCGGCTACAGATGCGAAGGTGCAGATGGTTGAGGTTGTTTTTGATGATGTCGTCGGGAATGTTTCAGCCGCCTCAGGAGGCTGATGCGGGGCTTCCGTCAGGGGCTGCAAGGCCTCCACTTGCGGAAATACATACACCAGGCGCCCATGAAAGTGCCGGCCAGGGAGTCGCCGTCCGCATCGACGTCGTCAGACTCCGAGTCTGAAAGGCGTCGTCTGGCTGCCAAGGCCACACGTCGAGCTGGGCTCTCAATTTTCTTGGTTACTGGGTTGCTCGGCAACGGGTGCCAACTGACACCTTTGAAGTCCTTGAGGCTGTGCTCAAAACGAGTAAGGTGGCCCCCGAGGCTGAGATGTGCCTGCCATTTGTGCTGCAGCCGGACACATGTTGAAGGTGCATGTGTCACGTCTCAGGAGCCAGGCGCCAACGTGGGTGCCGCCGTCGCTGAGGCTGCATCTCTCTGGCTGAGGTTGATTCTGGTCGGGGATTCTTCAGCCGCATATAAATAAATAAATAAATATATATATATGTATATACATATACTTTGTCAGGAGACTGGCGCGGAGAAAGGCAGTCACCCGGCAAAGGCAGCGTGTCCGTGAAGAGTTCTGCGATTCTACGAGTCTATACCCGTGAGCATGCATCCTTGCGCATCAGGAACCTCATATGTCTGCTGCTGCTACAGATGCGAAGGTGCACATGTGCCAGCCTTTTGTGGATCGTCCGCCTTACTTATGGCTCGATGACACAGGTAGCACCACTTTCCTCCGAACGAGCCGAGACATCGCAGCAGGACCGGCCCATGTTGGCCCATGTCTCCATCGATATATGTGTGTCATTGTCTTCCTCGGAGCCACTCGTGAAGGACTCTGCTAAATAAACAGTTGAGTGTGCTTAATGTTTTCGCTGGGGACTCTGCACTGCCCCTCAGGAGACTGGCGAGGAGACAGGCACAAGCCTGGCAGAGGCAGCGTGTCCGTGAAGAGTTCAACGAGTCTAGACCCGTGTGCATGCATCCTTATTGCGCGTCAGGAACCGCAGAAGTCTGCTGCGGCTAGAGATGCGAAGGTGCACATGTGCCAGCCTTTTGTGGGTCGTCCGCCTTACTGA